CAAGAGGAGTGGTTTAAATCCATGCAAGGAAAAAATGCAATCCTTGCATGAGAACATGCCATATTAGTTGGTAGATTTATCGAAAGGTAAAATAACACTAAAAATAAATGGATGTACAAGTTGAAGACTGAGGAGAATAATTCAAAATCAATTTACAATGTGAGATTAGTTGTGAAAGGCTTCAGTAAAAAGAAAGGAATTGACTTCGAAGATATTTTTTCACTTGTGGTAACGATGTCATCAATTTGGGGAGTACTTTGAAGATCATGAGTTTGAAGAATGAAATGAAGAAGTACTTTTTATGAAAGACATGAGTAGGAAAATATATTCTTGCTAGGTTCATATGTCTTAATCTGAAGGAACAAAAGGTGTGGCTATCACAAGAAAAATATATTGAGAATGTATTGAAGCAGTTTCACATGGAAAATGAAAAGCCAATTTTTACTCTATTTGCTAGTCACTTTATTCTTAGTTCAATTAAGATTCATACATGTGAAATTCAAAAGAAAGATATTTATTATAGAAATCTACCTATGAATTCCACCTAATTAAATTTTGAGGGGGAGTTCTACTATTGTAGTCCAAGCTACAAAATCTTGTAGGGTAAACGCAATAAGAGAGAAGAGGACCAAGAAACAAACATAGCCACAACCGAAGAAGATTCACGTAGGGTCCACATACTACAAGTGTCAAGTTCCGCAACACAACCGTCACAACCCCAACTTGAAAACCAAAAACCATGCATTCACCTGCAAGATTAAACTGAAAAAAGAAAAATGATGATGAAAACTATTGGTCACAATTTGAATTTAGATGTTAATAAAGCTCTAACAAATTTTCCACCTAAAGTAAAAATACCAAAACCGATAACAACATGGAAGAGAAAGAACGTGTGGTTTGATCTTGAAGAGTTGAAGTCGAAGAATAAGCTAGAATCTGTTACAATAAGTGCTTTTGGATTTGGCGTTTCGGCTGCTCTCTCTTTCTCTATTTTCTTCCACGCGCCAGCAGCTCTCGCGCAATCGCTCACCGTTGCTTTTCCCGTTTCACGCGCACCTGAGGTGTTTTTCTTTTCATTCTCAATTTGAATAACTAATTTTGATAATGCTTGAGCTTGTTAATTAGTCGAAAAGGATTTGTTGGTGTAGGTAAATGCAGTTCAGAGAACTCTTGTTGAAGCATGGGGTTTGATTCGAGAAACATTTGTTGATCCTACATTTAATCATCAAGGTATTATCAATCCGTAGCAATTTAACCTAATTTTGCAGCAGAACCTTTTATGTGTGCATAAATAATGAAATGTATTGGTATTACATGGATCAACGATAAAGTGTAGAGTTTTGCTTGTAGATTGGGATATGAAGTTGCAACAAACAATGGTGGAAATGTTTCCTTTGAACTCGGCTGATGCAGCTTACACAAAAATTAGTGGAATGCTTTCTACACTTGGCGATCCTTTCACTAGAATTATCAGTCCAAAGGTCTTTTTACAACTAACACTTCTTTGCTTTCTTAGAGGGTGTGTAAGGTGGACTATTGCACAGCGTTTCAAATTTTCCAGAGTTAAATTGTGGATAAATAAGACCTCATAATAGATTTGTTATGGTCCAACCTTGACTAAATGGGCTCCTGGTATTTTAGTCACAGTTGAACCATAACTAACTTATACAGTGCCTCCAAAAACTTAAAATGAACTTGTTGCTTACTTTCTTGGTCAACTGAAAAAGTACAAACTAGTAACTAACTCTAGATGGGATCATGATTCAATTGTAATTTTGCATGTTCTAAAGTGTTCCTTTCATGTGGCAGTGTAAAAAGTTTTACTTTGATGGTGTATCGAAATTATACTCTTTGTTTAACTGTGATTCTTACTTTCAGGAATATCAAGGGTTTAGAATTGGAAGTGATGGAAACTTACAAGGAGTTGGTCTCTTCATAAATGTTGAACCTAGAACCGGACGTTTGGTCGGTTACTTTGCAAACATCACTTTCAATCATTTTTCAGCTATCAAATACATTCAAATTTTCATGCTTATTGTTCTGGTGTCATTTGATTATGCTAATGACCCCTAATGCTTTTATTTTTCACTTTTCCCATTTAAGATTCTTGGCATCAACTAGAATTAGATATCAATCATAGCCATGCATGTCTTGCTTTATTTTTTTAATTTTACTACTAACTCAGTTTATAACGAACTTGTGTTCATTTCCTTTTTCATTTTATGATTGTTTCTTTAAAAAAAAATGAAAATCACAGGTTGTTTTGTCATGCATAGAAAAAAGTCCAGCTTCCCGTGCCGGTATTCATCAAGGAGATGAAATTGTTGAGATAAATGGTACTGACCAAGTATCTTATTCTTTTTTTTCTTCATTTATTTACCTATTTACTTCTACTGTTGTGTAATTGTTTATTCTAAAATATTTAATTTGAAAACTGTATCCAATCTCTTTGATTTATATTGCGTTTGTATTGTTTTTAAGTAATATACCATTTATAATCCATTTATTGATAGACAGCTGCTAGAATTATGATGTAATATAACTAGTGATTTTTCCCCTGAGATCGAATAGTAATTTTATTTTGTTTGAAAATGGATCTGTTTCTTCAGGGGAGAGGCTTGATGGCATTGATAGTGAAGGTGCCGCACAGAGGCTTAGAGGGAATGCCGGGACAACTGTTACAGTAAAGGTTCATTGTGAAATTACTACACAGTTCCATTCTTTGAACTATTGAGTATCACACATATATTCTTAGATCACCTTTGAAACTTTGTCTTTTTTTGTTGGGTAATTTTCAACTCCCAGTTCCTTTTTCTTGGGGTTAGGGGTTATTTCAACCTTGACTACTTCCAAAAATGGACATAATTGAAGAGACAGGGTGCTTATGAAAATATTTGTTGCTTCAATATTTCATTCTTTTCAAGCTTTCTGAAGCATTTGAGCTTAGTGCTCGAAACTAACTTGAAAACTTATCTTCTCTAGGTCAGAGACTCGAGCAAAAGCTCTTATATCCGAGAGGTAAAGTTTACAATTTAATGATTATGATATTAATGAAAATGTTAACTCATTTCTTGTATTTTACCTTATGTTTTTGTATGTACAAAAGCATTTACTCTACTGAAAAAAAATCCCTTTTTGTTTGGACTTCAAAGTTCACAATGTTCCATTGTTGATATAATATACTTGAAGGTTAATCTTCCAAGAGAGTATATCAAGCTCTCTCCAATATCCAGTGCCATCATCCCTCACAAATCCTCAGAAGGGCAGGTGATAAAAACTGGCTATGTGAAATTGTCAACCTTCTCTCAGGTGAGCAAAAGAGTCAACTATAAAATAAAATTGGAATTCTATATTCAGCCAAAATATAAAATATTTTAACCAACCACGATTTTGTTCTCTAACTATTTTTCATATAAACTATATAAGAGGGCTGTTTTAGATTGACTTATTTGAGTTTGATTACAGAGATATATGCACTTGTGAGACTGTTTGCAGAGCTTATAGAAACACATGTCCATAAGCTATTTTCTATTTATTTCCATAAGCTCTATGATGGCTTATGAAAACAGCTTATAGCTTCTATGAAAAAATTGTTTGATTTTAGTTTATCTTTAGTTTTAAAAAATAGTTTATACATAAACATTTATTTGATAAATGTTTATGTTATAAGCGCTTAATTAAGGTGTTTATTCAAAAGAGGTCATAAACTTTTCTCATTCCATATTGATTATTGACAGAGTGCTGCTGAAGACATGCAGAATGCTATCCAGGAAATGAAAAATCAAGGAGTACACTCATACATACTTGATCTCCGTAACAATCCTGTAAATTACCTTTTCATGTAAAATTTTGTTGTTTTATGTTATCTCTAGATTAGTGTAACTGTCACATAGAAGTGACTTCCTCGTTTCTTTGACGTAATTTTGTCACAGGGAGGTTTGGTAAAAGCAGGCCTTGATGTTGCTCAGTTGTGGTTAGATGGGGATGAGACGCTGGTGAATACAATCGATAGAGATGGGAACATGTCACCTATTAATATGATCAATGGGCATGCTATAACACATGATCCACTTGTAGTGATTGTGAGTACTAACAATAGTTGCTTAATATACATCTTTCACATCTTGATTATCTATAAACATTAAGGTTACCTTTGCTTAAATTGTTACTTTGATGAATGACGGCTTTTGTATCTTCAACAGGTCAATGAGGGAAGTGCAAGTGCCAGTGAGATCTTAGCTGGGGCATTACATGATAACGGTCGAGCAATTCTTGTAGGGAACAAAACATTTGGAAAAGGAAAGATTCAGGTATCGTTACTTTTTTGGGTTTCAAGATATATTTAAGTAACATCAAACGCAATTTGCTGTCAATCTTATGGCATGTATCACTTTCATTGCAGAGTGTCACGCAGCTTCATGATGGTTCGGCCCTCTTTGTTACAGTGGCAAAATATGTTTCACCAGCCCTTCATGCCATAGATCAGGTCGGAATAACGCCAGACGTGCAGTGCACAACAGAAATGCTTAATTCACCAAAGGAACTTTCAACCAAAGATAAAACCTCAATCTTATCTCTTGAAGCAGATTCATGCATTATGGTAGCTGAACATGAATTGGATATGGAGTCAAAGGGAACTGTTTCTTGAACATTACACTGTCTTTTTTTTCCATTATCTTTTCAATGTTCAAAGTTGAAGCGAAAGTTAGATCAGTGCTGCTAACTTTTACAATGCTATGTTGTGATTACTAGTTGTGCATCACTATATAAAATAGAGAAACCAATTGTGTATATATCATTCAACAGAACAATAGAAAAGTAATCAATTATAAGGAATTCAACAAATACATACATATATCAGATCACACCAATAGAAGAGTACATGTTACATACCTACTACAGTACTGCTCATAACAAAGCTAGTTTTCAATACATTACCATTTTCAACAAACAAGCATAAACTTTTAAAGTGTAAGAAAGAATTTAAATCCATTACAAATTCACTTGAACATGAATGCAACAAGAGAAACCAAAACAGAAGAACATAAGACCATCTTAGAAACAGGTAAAGCAAACCCATTTCCAGCCTCCAATTGACCTGTTGGTGCAATAGCTGAATCTTGCGCTACAATGTTCGTCACCCAAAACATGCCAATAATCATTACTGCCATCAAAGTGTTAGCAGTAAAGCTACCAAATGATGCCATTTTTCAGAGAATATGGTTGTTTTAACTTTGGAAAAGAGATTGAAAAGGATTTGTTCAATGAAAGAACCAAGATATGAACTTATATAGGAATGAGGAAAACTTGTTCAAGTTTATATCAAAAAACCATCATTTTTAAAGTTGGTGAAATGGTACATTGAACATAAAGAATTTTTTAATGTTACTATTTCTTTGGTTAAGGATGTTAACACCCCACAAGACCAATCAATCCTAGTTGGTTCAGGATAGAATATCAAATCAAAAATAAGTAACTCGCTCTTATGATATGTAGTCAGACATAAACTCTTCAGATTAAAGACATGTTAGGTGTTTGGATATATATATATATATATATATATATATATATATATATATATATATATATATATATATATATATATATATATAATTACATGCGATCATTTTTATTTTTAAAAATTATTAACCGTGTTTATTTGTCGGTTTCAGTATTGTATCCAACATCGATGTATGTGTCGATGATTTATAGCATATTGTGAAATCCCATTATACCCTTGATTATGAAACATGGGTTGGATGGATTACTTCTACGTTTGGATTCTTGAACTATTTTGCTGAAGTTATTGGTTACTTAGAAAGGAAAAAAAGTGAAAAGAAATGTGAAAGCGATTATTTGGCTGTCTATGTTTCTAAAATGAGTGCAATTGGTGGGAACTCTCTTTCAGTCCAGCCATTTGATTGACATAGCAACGGTTCTGATTGGTTTAGAAAGCTTCTAGAAATAGTTTCATTTGGCAATTGAGAAAAACATGTACTAGCTATTAAGAGAAGTTACAAGAAAGTTAGAATTTTACTTGGACCATTTTAAACTGTCTGTCAGAATCATTTATAAAGCAACTTAAATTAGTATGTCACCAAAAATATATATGCTACCGAGTAAATTCAACTGCTTATTGTAGTCAAATTGCATTCATACATACTGAAAACAGACAAAAATTTGATCTTTTTCTCTTTGCAAGCATGTTTAATTTTTTTTAGAATGATTTAAATCTTCTAAAATTAATTCTAATTCTATACAGAAAATTTAAAATTTTTATTTAAAAAATATTAATTTATAAATATCAACAACTTGTTAATATTACTGTATAAAAATAAATAATTTCAACAAATAATTTACACCAATTTAATTCATATGGATCGGTCCAGTTTAACTTGCTTCTCCGGAAGACTAACATGTATAATTAGGCTGAAGTGGGTCAATACAATTATTGGACTACTAAAAGATTATTGTTTTTTACACTATAGAGTTTTCTAACTCAACGCGTGAAATTATAAAAATATTTTTGGAAATCAGAAATATATTTATGGGACGCACTGGAATTCGGTATAACGTTGGATAAAATCACAAATTAATTTCGGTTTGTACCCGCATTTAATTTTTGATTCTGTTTTTGTCTTTTGAATAGGATAAAATCACATCTGATCTGTTTGTGTGGGGTATATGATGAACATCGAAAATATATATTTGATCTCCAAAAACATTGTAGAAAATGTATAGAATTTTTTTTCACTATAGAGAGAAAGAGAAATTCTCCTACAAAAAATTAGTAAGACCCGATTACTAATGAACCATGTGACCCAATGAACCAAATAGATCATATTTCAATATTATGATTTTAATTTTAGAGATACAATAGATGATCAGACTTGGACCGTCACGGCTGGCTCCGAGCTGAAAGTTTTGAACGAGGTGGTGGGGGGGGTACCTGCAAGACACTCTGATGCTGAAGTGAGTAAGAGCACGAGCAGGAAATAGTAAGAGTATGGGTAGAATGATGAATACCTGACCCTCTGGAAACAGAGGGTATTTATAGCCCCCAGCGTTGGGCCAAGGTTCCTTCATTGGGCCGGGCAGGTTTGGCCCAATGGAGGAACTGCCAGGTTCTACGTGCGTAGTGGGGACCCGCACGTGGTCCCCTCCCTGGATGTTCTGCGTGAAGTGCGGGCGGACAGAGACGCGGTCTTTTTGGAGTCCCGTGAGAGTGTAGTGGACTGAGTCTGCCCTAAGAGGGGTGCTCGGGGTGATGTCGAGCTGGACAGTAGGCGGCCGAGCAAGTAGCCTCAGGGAGCACGTCGGGCACGACTGTGACCCTTTGGTCGGCGTGGCCCCCAGCAAGTCCGTTTGGATTGGGCCTTATCAATGCTATTGGGCCAGTCGGGCCCAGTCCAGAACAAGAGCCCCCCAAGTCGTGGTTCCTTGGGTTAGGAGCCATGGCTTGATCTTAGGTTGCTTCCGTTTCGGGGCCTCGTGCCCGGGTCAGAGACACAGCTCCTCGAGGGCTTCCCCGTATCGTGCTCGGAGACAAGTCCTTCGCGGGGAATGCTCGGGGATCCTCAACAGCGCGCGTCTGTCGAGCACGTGAGGTATCTTTTGGGAACTGTGCCGCCACCCTATGAGGATAGGGTCATTATTACCTATGGGAGCCGTGCGTCGAGGAGAGAAACTCTGTGGTTGCCCGGGGTGACGTTTGGTATTCCACGTCATCACTATAAATAGGATCCTTGGGCCCCATAACGCGTTACTACTCTTCGCGCTACTGCTGATGTTGTTTTTCCAGATTCTCATAGCATCGCCGCGATCTCTGTCACCGATTCCTTACCTCCGTTGCCGAATCTACTCCTTGATTCCAAGTAAATGACTTATCTTCTCTGTTTTTCTGTTGTGATGCATGATTTTCATCGTTTTTAGACGTTTTAGAGGCTATGCGCGTGGGACTAGCCCGGTAAATTCATGTTTAGCCCGACAAATTCATGCTTAGGGTCGGCAAACACATGCTCGTGGCCGATAGATGCATGGTTTAGATTATAATCTGCAGTGCTTCCCGGGGTCTTCATGATCCAGGGCGCCTAATTCACGATCGTGCCCGTTATGCTCATGGCTCTGGCTTTAGGCTTTATGATGTTGCTCGCCATGTTCATACCCCGGGTCGGCGTATTCATGAGTGACCGCGTAGTTGGTTTGTTTAGGCGGCTTGTAGAAGGGCCCGTTGAGGTATCTGGAAGTCGGGGAGGCGACTGCTATTTTTGTTTTAAACCAACTGTGGTCGTGTGTAGAGCGACGTGGTTTGTCGCGCACTCCATCTTGTCTGTTACGTCGAGCGTATGGTTTCGTGCCCAATTGACTGGTTTCCCGTGCTCTGTAGATAACCATGGCGGACGAGCCGTGCTCTTCTGGACGCCCCGAAAGGGAGGAACAAAGTGTCGATGAGGCTGTGAGTTTGATCGACACCGTAGAAGACCCTCTGTTGGACTGGGTGGGCGCCGAGCCTAGAGGAATCGCCTCGGTCTATAGTCGGCGTAGCCGAAAGCCATACGATGTCCTTGAGGCGAGCAACGGCCAGCCTGATTTTCAAAAGAATTTTGTCGTTACACGACCGACCTCCACTGCTCGGATTTGCTCGGTGTTCCCCGAGTACAGTTTCCCCATGTACGAAATTGCATTCAAAGACCTTGGGTTGCAGCTGCCCTTCAGCGACTTTCAGGCGGGGGTCTTCGCCCATTTGGGGTTGGCCCCGTCGCAGCTACACCCGAACTCGCTCGCCTTTATCTGGGCGTTTGAGCTGACCTGTCGTTTTCTGAGGATCGGGGCGACTATACCTCTCTTCTTCAGAATCTTCCATCTGCAGCGCCAGTCCCGAGGAGGAAAGCACAGCTGGGTCTCCTTGAAACAGTCGAAGAGACTATTCAAGATGTACATGGACTCTGTGCGGGGTTTTAAAGACAAGTGGTATGTCGTGAGGCTGGTTACCACAGCCGCTTTGGAGTCCCTGTACGAGGAGGAAGCGCTGATAAGCGACGATGACGGGGAGGCACTTTTAGACAACGCCGGGTATCCGGTGTTGGGGCGCACGGTCAGGTTCCCTGTGCATTGGATTTCCAGGCATTACGAGCACGGAACTGGGTATTATCATACTTTTGCGGACGACATGGGTTCCGAGGATGAGAAAGCTTACGACACTCTTTGTCGGTATGCTGATAGCTTCCACCCCGCCAGGTGGGCTACGAGGGAGGGGGATGATGTCCTGGACGAGGAGGGTTACCCGACATTCGAGGCCCGACCGATCGATACTAAGGCACTCGTGGAGTGCCAGTCATTCAGGCAGGCTGCCCGTCTGCTAGGTCGTTTATTGCTTGAATTTCTTTGCTTGCCATTTGTTTGCGTATTTGCTCGACACTAACCCGGTTTTTTATTTTATGCAGGTTCGATGGCCGGGCGACGGGAGAGACTCTTGAAGCTGTCTTGCGACCAGAAGCGGGGCAAAAGGGTGGTGAAGGCTCCCCAAGCAACGAGGATGGGCCCGCCGCATAGTCCGGGCGCTCCTCATGTGGTGAGGGTGGATTCGTCGCCTAGCTCGGGGGCTGCTTCGGAAGAGACCCCAGAGGTCCAGGAGGTCGATCCACAGGCCGACCTGATACCGAGAAAAAGGAACCGGGTGGAAAGTGGGCCGGCGGTCGGCGAGGATTCCAGCGCCGTAAGGTCCTTCGGGTTGCCCCCTTGCTTCAAAGAGGAGGGTTTCTTCGAGGGATTCCCTTTGTCCGTGGTTGCCGATGAGGCCGAGACTATCAGGAGGATGAGTAAGGAGGACCGGAGGAGGCACCTGGCCGCCAATATGGCCGGGCTGGTGAAAATGGCCGAAATGGCCGTTGTGCTGTCCGAGGAAGGGGAGGATCCTGTCCGCATTGGAGAATTGGAACAGGAGAAAGCGGCCCTCACCTCGAGTTCGCGGAAGTTAAGGACTGCCCTGGAACGCTCCGAGGAGATGTTCCGCGAGCAGGCATCGCTGCTGGCTGCCGAGAGAGAGATGCTGACCCTGGAGAAGGAAAACTCGGGGAAGCTAGTCGAGGAGAGAGAGCTTCTCTGTGCTGACCGGGAGCGTCTAGAGACCGACATCGGGCGCCTAACCCAACAGATCGAGGACCTGAAAGTCGCCATGCTTCCTGCCGAGGACGAGCCGGAGGATATA